AAAGCGGATTACTTAAGTTCCCAGACGAAGCCCTTCCTGATCACAAAACTGGTTGAATTTGAAAGTCATGCTTCTGAGATTTATACACGCGAATCTTTTCGTGCGTTCCAAGAAGAACTTCAACGGGAGACATTGTACCAGATTCAGGAAGAGATTGAGTCATTATCAGATGAATGTCAATATTTTTATTTGAAAAAGTACAAAGAAAAAAATAGGACATTTGAAATTAGTTTTGATTCTCGTACGGAAACCCTAAATTACTCATACAGAAAATTCGAGACAGTTGGACTTTAATGTCGCCATCAACTTCACGTTTTGAAGCACTTGGATTACACATATTTGCCTGGGTCTTTGATTCAAATTAGGTCGACTAAGGATGCGAAGGCTTCTACACCCAGTTTTTTTTATTTTAATGTGCCTCCAGAAATAATGCAAATGGCAAGGTTTGCTTCTCTACGTGCAACAGCAAGTATGTTATGCTATGCTGCATCAAAGACAGACGTGCCTTTCAAAACCGCAAGAGATGAGATGAAAAGATTAATAGAAGAATTTGAGAACTCGTTTGGTTTGAATGATTCAGTCAATCGGAGCAGTGTATTAAACAACGTTCGTGACCCTCAACGAAAACAACGCAAGCGAAAAGAAGTAACAAAGAACAAGGTCGAGAAGAAAATTAGGCGATGTGAGTTCTGCAATGGTGAGGGACATAACAAACTAACATGTCCTCAAGTCAAGCTGGGTTTGAATACAAGCACGCAGCCTACTTCAACTGATTTTTTTGAAGACGAAATGGACTGGTCATTTAGTCCCGCACATGATGTTAGAGACATTTGGAATAATGCAGACAACGATCTCCATATATCCTAAGTATCAACATGACTCCTACTGTGTATAGGAAATATGTACAACAACCTATTGTTATTGAAAATTAACCACATCATTCAATCATGTTTGAACATTACAACTATATTCGTATAAAATTAAAAACAATTCTTCAACAACTGAATACAACTATTATATGTAATGTTCAATCATGTACTCCTTATGTTGTAGGGATTCAGTCCCTAAACCCTTAAAAGAAAGCTTGTCTTACCAATTCGTAGCTTACCATTTGGACCCTGAAAGGGTGTTTTATTGGCTATACAATCAACATGGTTATGAGCTTCCTTTATCATTTTGCATTCAGTCAGACTGTAGAGATTTGAAATTTGTAATGAATTAAAATATCTTAAACACTTGAATCCAATTACCATTTCAAGAACAATTACATGAATATATTGATACTTACTGGTCGCTTTCGATTTTCTTCAATGTTGATACGCTGGGGCTCCATTTGAAGGTCATCACCGTCAGAATGGAAGAGTTCTCTGCCTTTAGGGTTTTTCGTTTTGGGTTTTGTATATATAAGAAAAAACAAGCATAATTTTCAAAAGTATCGACACTAATTTAAAAAGTGTTGATACATTCTGTAGGCATATTTTCTCATAAAACCGGTAAATTTAAACTGGTACATTGTAAAGTGACCTATTACATTATAATTACGAGTTTCAATGTTTTTAGGATCGACACTTTTTTCTAAATGTATCGACACTTTTTCGTGAACTTATTTGGAAAATTTATTATGGACATAAAGTGTCGACACAAATGTATAAAGTATCGATACATTATGTATACCTTTTTTTAAATAACCAGTATATTTAGACCGGTTACATTGTTATGTTACCGATTACATTATAATTATGTGTTTCGATGTTTGTAGGATTGACACTTTTTATAAATGTATCGACACTTTGTTCGTGCACTTAGTTTGGAAATACATTCTGGACAACATGTATCGACACAAATGAATAAAGTGTCGACACATATTGTAAATATATTTTCTCATAAAATCGGTAAATTTAAACCGGTTACATTGTAAAGTGACCTATTACATTATAGTTACGGGTTTCGATGTTTTTGGGATCGACACTTGATATAAATGTGTCGACACTTATTTGTGAACTTGTTTTGTTTGGAAAACATATTATGGACACAAAGTATCAGTACAAATTTATAAAGTGTCAATACTTTATGAATACCTCTTTTCTCATAAACCGGTATATTTAGACCGGTTACATTGTTATTTTACCTATTACATTATAATTACGGATTTCGATATTTTTGGGATCGATACTTTTTATAAATGTATCGACACTTTGTTCGTGCACTTGGTTTGGAAATACATTCTGGACAACATGTATCGACACAAATGAATAAAGTGTCAACACATTTTATAGACCTATTTTCTCATAAAACCGGTAAATTTAAACCGGTTATATTGTAAAGTGACCTATTACATTATAGTTACGGGTTTCGATGTTTTTGGGATCGACACTTGATATAAATGTGTCGACACTTATTTGTGAACTTATTTTGTTTGAAAAACATATTATGGACACTTTTGCCTTTGTTTTGTACCCCCAAGACGGCTACAGCAGTCGATACCCCCAGAGGGAATGAATAATCGTCATATTTAGCAATACATTGTTTGACCTCAAATTGCTCCATCAAGGATCGACACAATTCCCTCCGAATTGGTCGATCATTTACTCCTATCAATGATCCAAACCCCATTTCACTCAGCACATTCAACTGATCATTCTTTTTAAGGTGTTCAATTAATGAATACACCATTTTTATGCTGCACCTTGTCGACACATCCTACATTTTTTAACAATATATAATGTTATTGTTCTTATATATCTTGTATCAACGTATTTACAAGTTTAATGAATACCTTCTTTTTATGTGCTTTCCTCCGTTCTTTGTATTCTTTATTATCATTCCTTTACAGTGTGATGTAAGGTTCCTTTTGAGCATCACTCATCGAATTTCATTTCGACCTCACATCTTTTTTCACCTAATATTAAGCATAAACGTTTCTTAATCAATACATTAACGCTAAATAATACTCAATGTCAATTTCATTTTAACCTCCGAACCGCTGTGTGTGTCATCTTCCTTCATCCTTTTGCATTCGTCCATACTGTCAACATTTAAAATTTGTAATCAATTTAAAGTTCCTAAATACTTTAATCCAATTACCATTTCAACAATAATAACAAAAAGAAATTGATACTTACTAGAAGTACATATATCCACCATTTGGTTGCTTTCCACCCATTGACTTCATTTTTCATTCATATATCAGTTTACGCAAATCAAATCAAATACTTGTATAATAAAATCGATAACCACTCTTGTGGTAAAACGGTTTGTCTTCAATAGAATTTGAATGACCACTACAACAAGTGTCGGCACATTTATATAAACCTCAAATATCAGTTTCTACCTATAATATTATATACATGTATCCATATTTATTTTCTACCTATAATATTATATAATAATCGGTCCCAAAACCTCCCTATTTTCTTCAAACGAATGGGAACACTCAATACTCAAAGTATCGGCACATTTATACAACCTATAGTATCATTTTCTACCTATAATATTAAATAAAAGTATCGATATTTATCATCTACCTAGAAGATCACTTTCTACATGTAATTGGTCTCAAATGCTTCTTTACTTCGAAAACCCCAAACAACACATAAAAACTCTAATTACTGTAATAATAAAAAACTAGGGTTTCAACAACGTACCTTTCGATTTGAAATGCAGCAACAAACAAAACAAACTTCAACATAGAAACGTCTTCTGAAATGCATCAACAATTACGCTTCGATTTCAAAAGCTTTATATATTTTCAGAGGAAATTTAGCTATGCCTTTATATTTACACCGGATATGTTATTTATATTTAATCGATACAATTACATAAGTGTCGATACTTTTATGTGAAGTGTCGATACTTTCGAGAGGATATTTACCTTTTACTCTTAAAGTGTCGATACTTGTTTACGCGTACTTATTAAAGTACCGACACTTTCAACATAACCGATAGCGTTTTACCGGTTTTGTCATTTCGATACCGGTTTTATCATATTTTTTACCTATTATATTGTTATGGATCGATACATTTTTTTAAAGTATCGACACTTTTTAGGCGCTATAATTTCTTCTCTTTTAAATTACAAAAGTGTTGATACTTATATTAATTTATCGACACTTTCAATATATCCAGTATCTTTTTACCGGTTTTATCATTTCGATACCTCTTTTGTCATATTATTACCGGATATATTACTATGGATCGATACATTTGTATAAAGTATCGACACTTTTCAGGCGCTATAACTTATTCTCTTTTAAATTACAAAAGTGTCGATACTTATATTAATTTATCGACACTTTCAAAATATCCGGTAGTTTTTTACCGGTTTTATCATTTCGAGACCTGTTTTGTCATATTATTACCTGTTATATTACTATGGATCGACACATTTTTATAAAGTATCGACACCTTTTAGGCGCTATAACTTATTATCTTTTAAATTACAAAAGTGTCGACACTTAAATTAATTTATCGACACTTTCAATATATCCGGTTGCGCTTTACCGGTTTTATCATAATGACACCGGTTTTATCATATTTTTACCTGTTATATTGCTATGGATCGATACATTTTTAATTTGTATCGACACAAACCGACAAGCTAAGTTTGCCGGTTGTCAATTTTTTTAATATTTTCTTCATGATTTCCACCTACAACATTGTTATTACTCGATATTTCAGGTAGCGCTAAACCGAATTTATTAAATATATTATAATGTATCCAGTAACACCGTATATTAATCGTATATTAACCTGTCTTTCATGAGACAATCCGATTTTTCGAAGTGTTTTGGGAAAACAACAATGTACTATAAAAAAAAGTTAACAAATAACAAATAAAACCCTATCTTATATTCTTTCCTTTTTGTCTTCAAATTTTCTGAATATATCTTTTTAAATCTCAAACTTGACCTTTAGGTGACCAAAATTTATCCCTTTCTGCTTCTTTAAAGATCTCTTGGTTTGTTTTCATGTATTTGTGGGTATTTCGTTCTTTCTTTGCCTTCTTTGTTTCACTTCGAGCTTTGCTTCTTCTTTACTTCTAAGAACATCAAAACCCTAAAATTTCACATTTCCCCCATCTGTTTCTTTTTTCAGGAAGAAAACTAGGTAAAGTGTCACTTTTCTTGTCTGGGATTTTCTTCATATTGCATAATTGGGTTTTGGGTTCCAAGGAACTTTAGGGTTTAATTCTTTATTTTTAAGTTGTGGGGATTTTTCTTTCTTTGAAAAGCTATGAACTTTGCCGGCATTTGTTTGAGTTTTCACCAAACATTGTGAAAAAAAGAGTGGGAATTGTAAGGGTGTTGTGAAGTAGCAAAAGAAAAGGAAAAATGATTGCTGAGAAGCCAAGCTGGGTTAGGCATGAGGGAATGCAGATATTCTCCATTGATATTCAGCCTGGTGGTCTTAGGTTTGCTACTGGTGGAGGTGATCACAAGGTATATGTATATTTTAAATTTCTTACTCTTTTGATATTTTCTTTCTGTGTTAGTTGCAAAATTTACTATAGATGGTGTTTACATTGATATAGGAATAGAAATCATCTGATTTTGCTGATAATCAGGTTCTGTTGTGAATTAATATGTTGTGTTCTGCTTTTGCATCTGTCTAAATTTCAGGTTCGAGTATGGAACATGGAATCTGTTGGGAGGAACTTGGGAAAGGATGAATCTACATTGAGGCTTCTCGCAACCTTGCGCGACCATTTCGGGTCTGTCAATTGCGTTAGGTGGGCTAAGCATGGTCGATTTGTTGCTTCAGGGTCCGATGATCAAGTGATTCTGATTCACGAGAGAAAGCCTGGCTCTGGGACGACCGAGTTCGGCAGCGGAGAGCCCCCGGATGTTGAGAATTGGAAAGTTGCAATGACATTGAGGGGACACACTGCAGATGTGGTAATGATATTGTTTATCATGTTGAGATATATAGCCATTGATAAGAGCTCAACTCTATTATAGTTAGTTTTATTGTGTTACAGTGCTATGGATTGGTTTTTCATTCTTGACATGAGCATATTATTTTACCTTGAAACTCAGTTGTTGAATCATCATTTAGTTTAATGTAGTGGTTTCCGATAAGCACTGGATATGGTCTAACTGAGACATTTCTTTTATTCCGAGCTTGAAGTAGGTAGATCTTAATTGGTCTCCTGATGACTCGATGTTGGCTAGTGGGAGTTTGGACAACACCATCCACATATGGAATATGAGTAACGGCATCTGCACAGCTGTGCTTAGGGGTCATTCTAGTCTCGTTAAAGGAGTTGCCTGGGATCCCATTGGATCTTTCATAGCGAGCCAATCCGATGACAAGACAGTTATTATATGGCGAACGAGTGACTGGAGCCTTGCTCATAAAACAGATGGCCACTGGACAAAATCAGTTCGTTTATTTGTGTTGATGGAATTTTCTTTGGTTTTAGACATTCTGTTTCTTTTCTGATGGAAAACATGTTCTTTTCAGTTGGGATCTACGTTTTTCAGGCGGCTCGGATGGTCGCCCTGTGGCCATTTCATAACTACTACTCATGGGTACCAAAAGCCAAGGCATTCTGCACCTGTTCTCGAGAGAGGGGAATGGGCTGCCACATTTGATTTCTTAGGCCACAATGCTCCGATCATTGCTGTAAAGTTTAATCACTCTATGTTCAGAAGGAATTCTGCCAATTCACATGAAACGAAAGGCACTCCTGTTGGCTGGGTAAATGGAGCTGCTAAGACTGGGGGGAAAGAATCACAGCCATACAATGTCATTGCAATCGGAAGTCAGGACCGCACTATAACAGTTTGGACAACTGCAAGTCCTCGCCCACTCTTTGTAGCCAAGCATTTCTTCGGTCAAAGTGTTGTGGATTTATCCTGGTAAAGATTTTGATTTTAGCAAAATATATAATTTTTTAAATATTTATCTCTTCATAGTAATCTATTTTCATGAACAGGAGCCCTGATGGCTATTCTCTCTTCGCCTGCTCATTGGATGGAACGGTGGCTACTTTCCATTTTGAAGTGAAAGAACTTGGCCACAAGCTAAGTGATGCTGAACTTGACGAGCTAAAGAGAAGTCGTTATGGTGATGTCAGAGGTCGACAGTCAAATTTGGCTGAAAGCCCGGCACAATTATTACTCGAAGCTGCTTCAGCGAAGCAAACCTCGAGCAAGAAAGTAGCTTTGGATGTTCAGCAGAACCAGATACCTGTAAAATCCTCTCTTGAGTTGGGGGTATCAAACAAAAGTTCCGAGCCTCAGAATAATGATGGAAAGAAGAGCAGACTTTCCTCTAGTGATGGATTAAATAAAACGGTGACACCTGTCCGGGTTTCTAGTCCTGTGAAACAAAGAGAATACAGAAGAGCTGATGGTAGAAAGAGAATTATTCCTGAAGCCGTCGGTGTTCCCATTCAGCAGGAGAATATTTCTGGCAGTGCTCAAGCTCAAGCACTAGATTTCCCAGTTGCATCTTCTGACCCTAGGAAAAATGATAACAGTGTAGTTCATGCTGATAGTAGTTTACGAGAAACTACTATCAGGGGGGCCGTTGGTAGAAGTTTTGATTTAAAGGAGTGCTCAGGGGTCACTGCTCGGGCTGCTGTTACTGACAGTCTGGTTATTGAAAAAGTTTCTGCTGACCAAGATCATAGCATCAATGTAGAACAGCCTGGAAGCTCGAAGCCTTCAGGTTCCTCAGTTAGCTCTACCAAATCTTTTTCAATTAGGGTATTTGACAAGAAAGAAGGGGATGATATGTCTCCAATTTGTTTGGAAGCTTGTCCCCGGGAACATGCTGTGAATGACATTGTTGGTGTGGGAAATGCATGTATGACAAAAGAAACTGAAATCGTGTGCACAAGGGGGGCTCAAAATCTGTGGTCGGACCGTATCTCAGGAAAAGTCTCTGTTTTAGCTGGAAATGCAAACTTCTGGGCTGTTGGATGTGAAGATGGGTGTCTACAGGTAAAGAACAAGCACTCTTTTCTAGCCGGGCAGAATTGTTGTTTCTTTATCCTCTTAATAAGTGTTCCGGACAATAGACAATTAATAGTCCGATGAGATTTCATAAATTGTCTGGCAAATGTACCTTAGTCCTTTTTTTCTTATGTTTTTGAAGGTTTATACAAAGTGTGGAAGACGTGCTTTGCCAACCATGATGCTGGGATCTGCAGCAACTTTTGTAGATTGTGATGAGAGCTGGAAATTATTATTGGTAACAAGGAAAGGATCTTTGTATTTGTGGGATCTCTTCAATAGGAACTGTCTCCTCCATGATTCGTTGGAGTCTCTAATAACTTTGGACCAGAGATCGTCTATGAAAGGTACATGTACTTTATATATTTCGAGCCTTCATGTGTCCTTAGAGGATTTGTTGTTTCGTGGTCCTTGGTTGACAACTCGTAATGTCTTGTTCATATGGGATGTTAAACATATTTCCTTACATTTTTAACTCTTTTCAGGGACAATCAAAGTTATATCAGTCAAGTTATCAAAATCTGGCTTTCCTCTTGTTGTTTTGGCGACTCGGCATGCATTTCTCTTTGACATGAGTCTCATGTGTTGGCTGAGGGTTGCTGATGACTGCTTCCCTACTTCTAATTTCGCTAGTTCTTGGAACTTGGGTTCAACCCAGACTGGTGAGCTGGCTGCCCTGCAAGTAGATGTCAGGAAATATTTGGCCAGAAAGCCAGGCTGGAGCAGGTTTGTTGCCACACTGTTTTGCCCTAAATATCATTAAGTCATATCAGATATAATATCGAGTATTGTTTGGCATATAGTCTCTTCTGGTGGCATGAATTTTGATTATATTCATCGACGTAATACCTGCTAAAGAGATAATTCCATAGATTCCTGGTTTTCAATTATTTTAAGAACTTTTAACTTTATTGGTCCTAGAATTTCAAGTGATTATGTATTGCAACAGGGTAACCGATGATGGAGTGCAGACGCGAGCTCATTTAGAAGCTCAGTTGGCATCTTCTTTGTCTCTGAAATCTCCCAACGAATATCGCCAAAGCCTTCTTTCCTACATACGCTTCCTTGCAAGGTAGGCATTTTCCTCTTACCCCCTACCAAAAGCATTTACGAGTGTTTATAGCAGGAAAAAAAACTTGTGTTGCTTCCTCGTTATTGCCTTATGCTCTTTTCGTTACAACTTGTGATGCGAAGCTTGTATTCAGTGCATCTTTATATATTTTCTCTCTTGGTTATCGTGATGCTATCATAAAAATAACTCCTTGACAAATTATATACGCTGTTGTGTTTGTAGAGAAGCAGATGAGTCCCGATTACGAGAAGTCTGTGAAAGTTTTCTCGGACCACCGACTGGAATGGCTCCAGATGCCAATAATCCCGCTTGGGATGCTTATGTACTCGTAAGTCTTTCGTCCCAATCTTGCATAAATACTCTACATTGTTTTTGTGCAGCTTTTTATGTTACGAGTCCAATCACATATCCGTTCTTGGACCCTATCTGGATCTTTGCAGGGAATGGAAAAGCACAAACTTTTAAGAGAAGACATTCTTCCTGCAATGGCGTCGAATAGAAAAGTCCAGCGATTACTTAACGAGTTCATGGATCTCCTCTCGGAATACGCAAGTGTCGAGAACAATGTAGACCAAGAAAACCTTTCTCCACCAACTACATCTCGACCGGAGATCGATCTTATGGACTCCAACCCATCTTTACCCGGTCAAAAAGATACTCCTACGCCAGCAACAGATGACAAGGAGAATCCTTCCCCTGGTATTAACCAAATGGATAGTATTCCATCAACATTGAATCAAGTAAACTGGGGCACCGAATCGACTGATCAAGTAAATCGAGCTCCAATAAGTGAAGATGCTGACGGTTCATGAACTAATGGTTGCTCAGCTTAGAATAGGGTATTGCACTGATCTAAAATATATCCCTTTGCTTGATGCTTGAAACTGGACCGTCCGACGTATCTTTTTCTTTTCTTTTGTACTTTTTAATCTCCTGTGCATTTAACTGTAGAATTTCACTAGTTTAGTTGAGAGATGTTTTTGGATAGAAGTCATTGATCTTTGTACAATTGAGTTTGATATTAATACAATCCTGTCTTTCAACTGTTTCTAATCATTTCGTTTGGACGGTTGATCATTATAAGATGCAAAATCATTGAAGTCAAATTTGAAGTTTAAATTTTTGATGTTGTCAAATCTTGTAAACGAGACGAGTACAACTTAAATTGATTCAAAAATTTTAAAATTAAGTTCGATTTGAAAGTTTACGAGTTGAATATTGTCAAGCATGATTCAAACGCAAAATCAAAAATTAAAATTCGACTCGAGTTTAAAAATGTTGAAGTTGAAACGTTCTTCTATTTAGCTTGGTTGAAGTTCGAGTTCGAACTTAAACCTAAACCTTAATTACATTAAAATCTTATATTGTATTTTTCTTTTAAAAATAATATATAAATATTAATATTATTAATAATTTAATTAAAAAAATAAAATTTTAATAAATTATTTTTTGGAGTTGTTCACAAACTTTTCGAGTTAAGAACTTGAGTCGAATTCAAACTCGAGTCAAGTTCATTTGAATCGAGTGTTGATCGAGTCAAACTCGAATAATTTATAATATAGCTCGTCTCATTTACAACCCTAATTGTGAATGAAAAAATAGTATCAAGATTATCGTTTTTATTAGTATTTTTTTCTAATTTATCTGTTTTGATTAATCTATTAATAAATTATATATTGATAGTTATATTAAAAAGTTACACTATTGTTTTCAGTCCTCGACATTTTCTCAAGAGTGAGGTTTGGGCCCGCTAGTTTGATTTAGTAGTTATATATTGTTTCAAGGGTAAGCTAAACATATAATCCCTAAAGTTTTAGTAAGTTTTTATCTTCTCCACTGAAATTTTAAAAGTAATGAATTGATCACTAATATTATTCATTCATAACAAATCATTCACTCACCGTTAACAATGATTAACTGGGTGACAAAAACGTTGATATGGCATGTTATAGCCACGTTGACCGCTCTTTGACTCAAAAAATTAAAGAAAAAAAAGACCAAACCTCTTTATAAGTTGCAAAATAAAATGACTCTTGTCATCACCACTGTTGGTCACCGAAAGATATAGAAGAATCTTATGAAAAGAATCTCATAACAAACTTATCTCATTATCAATAACACCAAGGGTTTATATACACTTCTTTACACTAACAGACTTTGTAACTGAATAACAAAAATAACAGTAAACCATTTATCACAGTTTCATCTCACTAACCATAATTCTAACATGCTTCCTATCTTTCTCCCTTTCTAACCCTTTTTGTTGATGAAGAAAAATGTTGTGGACAGCTTGCAACCTTAACTCGTCTACTGAGCCGAACAAAAAAAAGGTGCAGACAACAGTTTAGTTAGAACATCAGTTATTTGATCAACTACATGAACATATTTAATTTGAAAGGACCCATCCATGACTTTCTCTCTTACAAAACACAAATCAAGTTCCACATGCTTTTAAGCTTCACATGATGAACCGAGTTGGCTGAGTGAGCAGTTGCACTGGTTTTATCACACCAGATGACGGGCGTAGAAGTAAGCTGCGTATTTAGTTTAGTTCTGTTAGTAAATACTTAATCCACATGTCTTCACACAAATCATTAGCCAGGCTTCGAAACTCGGCTTCAGTAGAAGATCGAGACACCACTTTTTGCTTCTTCGGACTCCAGGTAATAGGGTCCCCCCCCCAAGAACATGCAATGTCCTGTTGTCGACCTTCGATCAACAGAATTTGTTTCCCAATCTAAATCAGAGTATTCAATTAACGTTGTGAGAGTTGGATTCATATTAAAAAATAAGCCATGGTCCATTAATCCTTTGAGATACCTAACAATCCTTTTTACCACTTTCTAATGTTTATCAAGTGGTGATTGCATGTATTGACCCACTCTATTAACAACAAACTGAATATCCGATCTAGTAGTGCAAATATGTTGAAGTATTCTTACAACCTGCCCATACAAAGTTGCACATAGACAAGGGTTTCCATCTTTGATAGAAATGTTACATGTCGTGACCATAGGTGTTGTTGGAGTTGTTCGCAACATCTTTATTTTTTTCAACAGCTCCATAACATGCTTCTTCGGATTAAGAATTATTTCCTGTTCAGTACAATTTCACAGTAATCCCACAAAAAGAATTTAACAACCTAAATCTTTCAAAGAGAACTTGGAATTAATCTTTTTTATAACCAAATCAATTTCCTCTTCATCATCACCAGTAGCTACTACATTATCTACATACACCATGATATATACTTTTTGACTATTAGTCTCTTGATAATAAAGAGAATTATCAACCAAAGACGCATAAAATGAAGATGACGAACAAGGTACTCCATGAACTTTTCATACCACGCACGTGGCGTTTGCTTTATTTTATACAACGAAGTTTTTAACCGACAAACCAATTGATTTCCGTTTGTATCCACTTGCTCAAACCTAGGCGGTTGTTCCATATAAACCTCTTTAAATAAATCTCCATTTAAAAAGGCGTTATCCACGTCATTTTGTCCAAGAACCCATCCTTTACCAAGGGCTATACTAAACAATATTCGAACAGTAACAGGTTTCACAATTGGGTTGTATGTCTCCTTGTAATCCAAGCCTGCTCGTTGCAAGTAACCTTTCGCAACTAACCGAGCAATGTTGCCGCCAGAGTTCTTAATTTTAAACAACAATTTGCACCCAATTAGAACTCGATCAGCAGGTAAGGCAACCAGATCCCATGTATCTTTTTGTATAAGTGCAGCAACTTCTTTCTCCACAGCCTCTCGCCAAACATCATGTTTCATAGCTTGATGCACATTAGCAGGCTCCACAGCAGGTGCCTCAGCAAGAAACACCTTGTGTTTGAACACTCCAGCATTCGACTGAGTTACCATACAATGAGAATTCAACATCTGCTTGCTTCCAAACTGCACACTATTAGTGCAGTCACCAGGTTGGTCTAAAGGCACACCATTACTGTCACTAGAATGAGCAGACTATTGTTCTGAAGGCACACCATTACTATGAATAGGAGATATTTGAGAACCATGAGCAGAGGATGTATCTAGATCACCACACAACGGGCTTAAAGTAGTATCACTCGCCTCCTTGTACACTGAGGACCCGAAGCTAAGCACCCTTGAGATTCACCAATATGTGGAACAACAGTAGAACTATCAGACACAAGTCGATTAGTTCAACTGCCAATACGCGAGCCTCCATCTTCATAACTCGAACCAATGTAAACACGACCCCCAGACCGAGCTAGTTCATTTTGACCAATGATCGAACGAGACACTTTGGGGCAAACAAAACTTCGCAGCAATCCTTTCATCACCAGACTGAATTGAAGACCCTTTCAAATTATCTGCAAAAGGAAACCTAGACTCGTTAAACTGCACATGCCTTGAAACATAAAGCTTACCATCTTCATCGAGACACTTTTAGTCGCGTTGATTGGAACAATAGCCCAAGAATACACAGGATTTGAATCGAAATTGAAACTTATGCTGATTTTAAGGTCGCACTAGAGGAAAACACTGACAACAAAAAACCCTTAAAACATTATAGTCAGGTTGTTTACCGAACAACCTTTCATACGAAGTTAACCTATGCAAAATTTTAGCAGGCAACCTGTTAATAAGAAAAAACTACAGTAGAAAAAGCATCAGACCAATATTTGAAAGGTATAGACGCTTCAGCCATGAATGTAAGACCAAACTCAACTATATGACGATGTTTTCGCTCAATCATACCATTTTGCTAAGATCTATGAGGGCAAGAATTTTGAAAAATAATACCATGCCGACTAAAGTATGTAGCTAATGATTTAAACTCAGTGCCATAGTCAGATTGAATAGTTTTTAGTTTGCAACTAAAATGTCGTTCAGCCATCGTATGAAAAGAACCTCGTGCACGCATCAATAAAATTAATATAATAACTAGAGTTGTTAGAAATTACAGGAGCATGTCCCTATAAATCTATTTGAATAAGTTGCAAATGCTGATCATAAATAGAAACAGATCTTTGAAATGGAAGTTTACAACTCTTGCCTAACTGACAAGCATCACACAAAAAAATTATTATCATCAGGAATATTACACTGTCTCAAGAACATGGCTAAAATATTAACAGATGGATGTCCTAGTCTTCTATGCCATAGTTCAGAGCTACTAACAGTAGTTTTACAAACATCAAGAACATTTGAACCATGAAGAAAACTGCCACCACTATTCCTATCCACATTAGTATTTGACAGAATAGTATCATTAGCAGAATGTACAAGAACTATAGAACCATTAGCAGAATTCACAGGAACTAAAGCCCTTTTAAAGACATCAACATTACTAGAATGCACGACAACCATATAATCATGTGTAACTTTATCACCCTTAGAACCAGCAGACAATTTCACATTACTGATAGAAGACAATTCATATAAGCCCTCATTTTCCAAACCTCGAAAGATCACCTGTCAAGTTTCCAAGTCCTTCACAACACAACAATCAGGGTAAAACTCGATTGAAATACCATTATCCTTAGTAAATCTAGAAATTACAGACGTAACAAATGTTATTGTTACCGATTGTGATCATCATTTGTTTTATTGTTTAGGCATTAGAATCGGCAAATATAATTTTTTGTCATTTCTTTCAAGGTGTTTACACTAATCTCAAAAGGAAGATTGATTTCGTGATGCGGTCGGTCGACATTTACAGACACTACTTGTTCTTCCATGCCATATACGTATATATTCTTCTAATTTTTTTATATTGAATCTTAAAATTTAACCACGTTATCAGATCTTAAGAACACGATGACTCACAGATTTGGTGACATAAACACCGAGAAGTTGCGAATAGCAGCGAGATTTAACCTCATAGAGAACGACATGTTCTACTTTGACCCTAAATGCATTGACTGAGACGATTATTTCATGAACAATCATATTCTTGGCATCCTAAAATACACTTTCAAATGAAAGAAAATAGCTGAATTAATATTTAGTTATGCATAGAGTTGTGAATTCATGGTTTTGTTCATGACAACATATAGGGTTGTAAAATCAGGTA